ATTCTTCAACCATGTTACGAGCGTTGACATTGCAGTTTGTCCACCAAAGACACCTTTGCTGTTGGAAACACATATTTGAAACGTCACAAACACGACAACCAGCTGATCCAAGTGAACTCAAGCAGAGTGTAAACAAGTAAAACAATAACTGCTGTGGAAACTCAAATATTGGATTTGTTTTTAATCTGGTATCGGCAAGATGCTAATTTAATTTGTATCCTGTATGTATTTGTATGCACTAATAAGCCTATACCTGTGCCACAGTAGTGGTTATCTGCCTCTTTTTTAGCCTGTTAATGCCTTTATGGAGCATCCACATAGGAAGGGACTAGAAGACGTGGTGGCGAAAGACCACAGAAAGTGATGAAATAACCGCCAATGTTGGCCCAAGTTAAACTTTTCTCAACTTTGAAGCGAGCAATTGAAGCTACTACCAGTGAGAGCAAAGAAACCCGTTGATTGTCTTGAACTAAAGCAGCCAGCTACCAGTTGAGTCATGACCATAAAAAAACACAGGACTGTGTGAATAATTTCTTTTAACCAGGAGCTACTCATCCCAAACGTTTTTGCAAATAATGATTTCATTTCATAATGATTTCCAACTTTTTCAAATGAAATTCTTTTCATTATTGCAGCGCTGCATAATAGGACTTTTGATAATAATATCAATTATTAGTTATTAATCTTTGGCTCTCTTCCACAGCATGTTTTTGTCTTGTCTTCCCCTTCTCGCCCCAACTGCTCACGGAGACTGGTTCTGCTATAGGTTTCTTCCTGTTAAAATAGATTTTTTCCTTCCCGCTGTCACCGAAGTGCTTACTCATAGGGGTCTTATGATTGTAAGGGTTTTTCTCTGTTTTCTTTATAATATCAGAATCAGAATCAGAACTATTTGTCACATGCAGGTTGCCCCGCAGTAAAATGAGACTTTACTTTTGTAGGGTCTTTACAATATAAAGCGCCTTGAGGCAACTGTTTTTGTGATTTGGCACTATATAAATAAAACTGGATTTTTTAAAATATATTTTGCTGTTTGTGTGTAGCAAAGTAATATATATAGCCCCGTCATCGATATAGTACAGTGCTTCATCAACTTATTGCAATCATTGCTATTGCAGTTTCTGAAGTTTTTGTCACATGTTTAAAATTTTCCATGGCAACAGTGACCTCCACTAATCAGAGATGTATTTGCTTCCCTTTAGGATGGATATAGTAGATGTTTTGTCTGACATCACATTGGTTGGTTGTTGATATCTTATGGCAATTTCTACAAGACACATATCATTGTTTCCCAGTTTTGAAGCATATAGTAAGTCAACTTTAGATGGCTACAACATTATGGCTCATAATTAAAACCCTATATGGAGA